ATGTGGGGGGTTTTAAGAGGCCCTTCTTCCCTTTTTGTCGGGGTTTAGGCTCACATAAACTTAAAAATACAAGTTGTTCCTCGGTTGCTCTTGGGTTTTGGGTTTTGAGAGGTTCGTCAGAGTTCAGGGTGTCAGGGATTCAGGGTCCTAGCGTTTTGGAAGGGTTTTGGGTCTAAGTGGCTCATACTTTTGTTGAGGGTGTTTAGTTTTCTTTTTCCGGCATTTCACTGGCCAGTTCAGGATTTTATAGGGTTGCTTAGTTCTGCTTGGGCTTGGCGGTTGAAAGAAGCAGGCCAGTGGAACAAAGGGACCGGGGGGCAAGGTGATTCAGGGTTTCTTGTAGGGCTTGATTCACAGTTCCTCAACGCGGACATACTCTTGCGGCTCCGAAGCCCTAAACCCTATAAACCCTAAACCCTAAACCACAAATTAGAGACGACCCATGGCAGTCCTTGGTCCTGGTTTCTTTGAAGGCCCCTAAACCCTAAACCCTAAACCTGGGTTGAGGATTTAGGGGATTGGGAATGTAGTGTTAGCCCTAAACCCTAAACCCTAGACCGCAGGCCGAGAAGCCCAAGGCGTCAGCAGCGTCTGCGCAGGACTCCCGGGTTGGTTGGGGAGGGGGGGGGAGCTCAACAGCCCTCTCAACCTTTGACCGCAGGTCTCCCCTTTCGAGCGCCCTAAACCCTAAACCCTAAACCCTAAACCCAACAAATGCACACAGAAATGAAAACAAAACTGAGCTCTAAAACCTGAAACCGAAGAGCCACAAATCTTCAAACCTGCAACGCGGAAGCCCTAAAGCACCATCAACTTTACACCCTCAACGCGAAGGCTTCAAGGCCTTTAAGCCCCCAGTGACCTCCTGAGGACTTACGTTTTGTTTTTTGGCTTGTAAAGTTCACAATAATATTCAAGTTGCGATTGTGGCTACGGTTGGATGGTGTACGTGGAGAAAGAGTATTCTCCTCAAGAACTGTGTTTAGTTACCGCTTGCACAACACAACGGACTACTAACACTTATATCTTTTTTTGTTCTCAGGGGGATAGTTTAGCAAAATGAGGTGTGTCCCGGGCACATCTTAAGGCCTCCACTTCACTCTGAACCCCTAAACCCAGAGAAACCCAGCGCATTGAAGCTGCAGGGAGTCAGTTTGTCTTCTGCGTGTCTCGGGGTCATGAGGGGCTTGCTCCAAAGTCAGGGCTTGCTTACTTGCGACCTTTTTTTAGAAATGAACCCGGTTATAAAAGTGGGTCGATCTAGCTGAACAGAAACATCCCACCCACCCCTGATGCCTGCTCACAGACCGCTGATCTGCTCAATTTCGATGGCCCGGCCGTCTCCAACTCGAAGGACCCATGTTGGAATTAGGGTTCGGCATGTGGGGAATGTAGGGGTTTAGGTTTTTGGGTTTAGTGTTTAGGGTGTAGGGAAGTGCTTGGTGCCTGGATGTCGAGTGCTCGCCACTTCTGACCATGTCCAATCTTAGCTAGGTGAGGATAAGCGCTATCCTATAGTCAGAAGCCTTCCCTAGAAAACCCGAATCTGCAAAACATGATCTGAGCACCGAGCCTGATTCGGCACAGCTTCTTGCTCATGATTATTGTCATATTGTGGTTATTTGCAGCTCATCCTCGTCGTGGTAGTGGTGCGGGCAGTGCCAGTTGCAGCAATAGTCGTCCTAGACCCTAAATCCTAAACCCTAAGCCCTACCCTAAAATGGTTAGTAGCGTGTCCTGCTGAGCCCTTCAGGAGGCGGACCTTCTGGGCGGAGGCCCGGGATATTTTGAAATGGCGATTCACGCAGTTTTGGTTTCCTTTTTAGGGTGCAGGTCTTTAAACGGGCAACGTATTTTTCCTAGGTTACTCTTGGGTCTAGTCAACAACATCAGCCTCTACAGCATCTGAAAACACGGCCCGCGAATCAAGTCTTCGCGGAATAGGACGAAACCTCAAAGCCAAAAACACTACCACCCTAAAGTTTGTGTAGCCCTAAACCCTAAACCCTAAACCCTAAACCCTAAACCCTGGGGTCCTGGGCCTTTCCCCTTCGAAAGAGCCCTTGGCAGGCGCCGGCGCGGGCGACCTCCTGGGGCTCTCCGGAGGGGCCGCGAACCAGGCTTCGCTTTTCGGGGGTTTAGGGTTCAGGGTTCAGGGTTTAGGGTTTAGGGTTTGGGGTTTAGGGTTTAGGGTTTAGGGTTTAGGCTTCAGGGTTTAGGGTTTAGGGTTTAGGGTTTAAGGTTTAGGGCAGTTTAGGGTTAAGGGTTTTGGGCTCTAGAAATGTTTCAGGGGTTTGGTGGGGTTCAGGGTTTAAGGTTTGGGGCCTGGGGGTTGGGGTTTGGGGTGCTGCGTTTGCAGGGTTTCAGGGTTTCGGGGTTTCGGGGTGTAGGGTGCGGGGTGTAGGGCTTTAGCAAATTTCATGGGTATATATAAGGTTCCAGTTTTGGGGTTTAGTAGGGATTAGGGCTTCAAACATTCCTGAAGGTTTTAGGTTGGGGTTTTCGGGTTTGGTCTTTTAGGTAGTAAGGAGGGTTTTGGTTCAGGGCTTAGGGTTTTAAGGGTAAGCTTAAACCCCCAAACCCTAAATCCCAAACTGGCCCTTAAACACATGGTTGTCCAGGGCTGCCAAGTCTTCAGCTGTCACCTGTCCGAGCACAAGGTTCATGGGCCTGTTCTCGGCCGTCGCACTAGACTGAGTATCAAACCCCTCCAAACCCTAATCCCCCCGTACCCTGAATCCAAAACAAAACCAGCAGGCCCAAACAGCTGCAGCTAAACCCCAATCCCCCTCCTCACAAGCCCCAATGCCAAACGCAAAAGCCTTAAAACCTTATGAAACCTCATAGAAGGCCCCACATGCCTACCAAACACCATTTTAAAAGACCCAGTCCTTGATCAAAATCCTGGAAACCCTATAACATCCTGCTGGGGCGCATGTCAAGGCGAACGACCTGCTCAGCCTCGGCTCCACAGCCGCTACCCTGCAAGAGGGGGCTTAGAGGTCTTTGACTTTCGGAACCCTACACCCCTGTAGACCCTACAAACCCTTATAAACCCTATCAACCCCATGAGCCCTGAAAAACCCTCTAAACCCTCTCAACCTCTCAACCCTCTCAACCCTCTAAACCCTCTCAACCCTCTCAACCCTCTCAACCCTCTCAACCCTCTAAACTCTCTAAACCCTCCAAACCCTCTAAACCCTCTCAACCCTCTCAACCCTCTCAACCCTCTAAACCCTCTCAACCCTCTCAACCCTCTCAACCCTCTCAACCCTCTAACCCTCTAAACCCTCAACCAGTCGAGTGCTGGATTCCTTTTTTCGCTGGCCCAAGGCACCTTTGGACTTCACTGCGCCTGCACAGGCGCCCGGTTTTGGAGCCCACACTTGGGCTGTTGGCTTGAGCTTTCGGGTTTAGAGGGCTTAGGGTTAATTACCCTGACAGGCGTGATCCTGGTGCGAACCTTAAACCCGAAACCCTATATAGGGTTCAGGGGTTTCAGGGTTTGGGGTTTAGGGTTTCGGGCTTCGGGTTTGGGAGTATAGGTTCATGGTGGGGTCTAGAGGGATTGGGGTTCCACACCAGGACAGGTTCGGTGCTATTATGGTACAGCAACTTAGAAAGAAGGGTAAATATGAATCCACGTATGAATGTATATACATACAATTTAGAGGGCCGATGACTCCTCTCGCACGTAGATGGTCTAGGTCAACCCTAAACAACGAAACGCTGGGAGAAGGAGGCTCGCATGTGTTAGTTTGGGTTGTAAATACCTCTGCAGTCAAGCTTAGGAGGTTTACATCATTGAGGTTTAGGGTCTGAGTCTAGTCTTTTGTCGTGTAGATTGTTTTTTTTTTTTTTTTTTGGGGGGGGGGGGGGGGGGGTGGTGGTGGTGGTTGCTTAGCGTTGAGACGGCTGTGTGTCTGTGTGTTTCAAAAGGGACTCGACCTCGAACCCCTAAGGTGGCACCCTTGGGTTTTGGGGGACCCTTTGTAATCTAAGGGCCATATATTCGGAGTGTGTTAAGGGAAACCTTTAGGGGCACAACCGTAAAGCTTAGGGATACGAGTCTTAATCCTTGAGTGTTGAGCATGGGGTTTTTGCGGGTCGAAGGAGATTTTGTTGAAGGGCTTCGCGAGATTCGAGAAGGTGTTGCGCCTCGAGGTTCCCGGAGTGGAGTGGGTTTAGGGTTTAGGGTTGAGTGTTTAGGGTTTAGGGTTTAGGGTTTAGGGTTTAGGGTTTAGGGTTTAGGGTTTAGGGTTTAGGGTTGAGTGTTTAGGTTTAGGGTCTAGGGCTAAGGGTAGCTACAGCTGGTGCGAAAGGTGACAGTATTTTCCTACCCATGAATCTTCAAGAACACCCCATACATGGTTCAACTTTGCTCCCCGCTAGCGCTCGCCCAACCCTAGACCCCAAACCCTAAACCCTGAACCCTATGCCCTACAGGGTGGGGCCCCCTTACTATACTAACTGTAGTTAAGGGACTTATAACCTAACTTAGGGTCCTTATAACCCAATTTAGGGCCCTTATAACTCGACTTATAACTAGGGGGCCCCACCCTGTAGGCCCTAAGCCCTAAGGGGGTGGGGGAGGGCATGGGAAGAGAGGCTCCTGCGGCCGCTCCACAGGTCTCCGCAGCACACGCCTCAGCCGATCGCCGTTGAGGGTTGAGGGCTGAGGGCTGAGGGCTTGGGGTTGAATTAGGGTTATGAGGGTCTGTAGGTTTCTTAAATGAAGGTTTGGGTGGTGGCTTAGGGCTCTAGAGCTTCGTGGTTTTTCGGGCGCCAGGAAGCTAGATCTTAGGTCCTGCACACCTGGCATGACATATGGTTCTCCTTCAACGTTCAGAAGCCCTAATCCCCTAGGGTTTAGGGTTGAGGGTTTAGGGTTTAGGGTACCCTAAACTAGTTTCGGTTTGTTTGAGGTTCAGGGCAGGCCATGTCTTTCTTTTGGAGCAGTTTCGGCGGAGACCTTAGGTTTGCACAAGTAGCTCGAAGCCATGTCCAATGAAGTGCCGTGCCGCAAATGCAAACTACTGGTCATAGCCATCAGCAACTATGATGGTGAAGCTTCCTTGGACGGTGTGGAGGCAGGTCTGGAATTGCTGAGGAAGAGCCGCTTCTACCAACAGGACTGTGAAGTGATTGAGTGCATCAACAGCGCCGCCACGGAACTCGGAATAGTTGAGCAGATCAAAGCTTGGATAGGGCGTATGGAAGGTTCGGGACCCGAGCAGGTTCATACCTGCATCTTCCTTGGTCACGGTGTCAACGTGCATGGGTTGTCGTGCATGGTAACTGTCGACAAGAAGCTGATCCCCATTTGGGATCTCTACAACCACCTTTGCCAGAAGCACTCGTTGTCGGTTGCTCTTTTCTTCGACTGTTGCCAGTGCCCGCCGGATGGCGTGTTGAGCGAACCAAACAGGGGACTGTTCCGCTATGAGGCAGCCAGAGCAGGATGGTGCGACAGGAGTCAAATAAGACTGTCGATATCTTCATCGCCAGGACAATATGCGGAAGACGCTTCTGTTGCTCGTCGCTATTCTAGCTACATCTCAGAGTTAGTCCAGAGCTTGGACGGTTGCGATTGGTGGGAGGAAGTGTTTCACTGTGTCTCCATGGCAGTTGATGCAACCGGAAGTCAAACTCCATTCTGTGTGGGGCACGCAATTTGGCAAAGAATACAACGGTCCAGCCCACGTGAACTGAGCTTTGATAGCAGCGAGCTCGGCGCCATGTCCAATGAAGTGCAGTGCCGCAATTTGCCTGAACAAGCATTCTCGCGATCACCCCAAGCTTTGATGGAGGCAACCAACTCATGAGATGAGCTGTTAGCCCTGTCCAGGGTTTATGTAGGGTTCAGCTAATTACTGCTTGGACCATAGGAGGTTCATGTATCGCTGGGCTTTCGCCGGTAGGGGAACCAACATTTGACAACTTAGCGTCTTACAACCCTGCCAATCAACCTTCAAGTAGGGCTTCAGCGTCTAGTCTAAGTCCCCCAGAGGATCAGGGCCACACCATGGAGGAAATAGAGCTCCTTGGGATATGTGATCTTTGCTTACTGGTTGTAAGAGAAGTTTTGGAGCATGCAGGGTTTAGCGGGCCAACCTACATAGCCACGTGTGCGGCTACCCTTGTCATCTGCATTTGTGGCCACTTATTAGCAACCCCCACCTACCCCGCAGCCACCCACACTGTGTCTACTAGGTTCTTGTGGTTTCATGTCCCAGGCGATGTAATTCAGTGTGTATGTGTTCCATCCGTCCTCTTACAAGCACCAGTCTCGAATGATAGTATGTTTCTGGTCGGATGTGTCATATTGCGTCGAAAGCTGGCTGTGGGCAGCGCCCTACATCAACACGTCGGGATGTCGTGTGTCAGCTTTCTTTGTAATCTACAATGTTTCTTGAAGTACTGGTTGTAAGTACGTCTTCACGTGCTCAGTGCTTCCATCCATGGGACAATCTAGCATGAGGCTCCCTGTTCTACTAAACCCGAAGACTTCAATTCCCTAGATTGTTATCAGCCTTCTGCAAGAACAGCCTAATCAGGCACCGTCTACATGTTATCCTAGGCCCTGAATCTGCTGTGTCACAAGACCCCGAAAGCTACCGCGCAGGTTGTGGATTTAGGGTTGAAAGGGTCCATAATCGACCTCATGACTTCTTACCCAGAGAAACCCTATACACCTTGGTCGCATCTTCCAGGCACCTGCTTTGATTCCATTTTCCGCGCCGGCTATGGAGGTTGGAAGACATTCGGGTTGAAAGGGTGTTTAAGTATTTGGGTTTCTCGTGTAGGGTATACCTGGGCTTTCGACCATAGTCGAAGGCTTCAGGGAGCAGATTTCATGTGTTCTTGGTCTCTGAGTCCGGGTCTCTGTTGGATGTATGTTGCTTGGGCTGGTGAGCATGCTTCGCCATACTTAGGGTTTAGGGCTTAGCGTTTTGGGTGTTTTGTGACAGGAAGGCGAATAAAAGCAGCATTCAGATGAGACTGTCTCCACTGCCATGCATCAGCAGCCCAATCCCAGCCAAGTTCTAGCATACAGGCCACCCCCAACAATACCAGTGCACCCTTTGACCCACCCTCACAGAACTCCTTGTGACCCCACTGCCGCAGAAACACGCTGGCTCGCAAGGTGCACACCCCGTCACCAGTGGCGGCAGCTCCACCAGCAAGGTCAGCCCTTTTTGTTGCAAGGCTTCCGGGTTCAGGCGTCTTGGGGTTCAGGGTGCAAGGGGCCCGTTGGCTGAAAGAGCTGGAAACAGAATCAACAAAAGCCGTAGTTGTAAGTGGGGTGCAATGTGACGTAATGCAAACTTAGTTGTAACCATCTTTGGGGCACTTGCTACCCGCGTATTGCTACCCATGAACCCTTTTTTTACCCTAAACCCTAAACCCTAAACCCTAAACCCTAAACCCTAAACCCTAAACCCTAAACCCTAAACCCTAAACCCTAAACCCTAAACCCTAAACCCTAAACCCTAAACCCTAAACCCTAAACCCTAAACCCAGAGCCTGCAAGAGGCCGGCTGCATCTGCGGCTGCCCCGTTTGGCTCCAACACACTCGGCGGCGGCGCAAAGCGCATCTGGCATGCTCGATGTAGAACGGACACGACAGATACAGTGGGGGCAAAGAGGGTTTAGGGCTTAGGGGCTTCGGGGGTTAGGGCCTCAGGTTAGGGTTTAGGGGTTAGGGTTCGGTTTTGTACTTAGGAAATATGCACTCAAAAGCTCTGCTGTTGTGTCCGGCACCCCAAACCGCAAGATCCCAAAGTGCATAGGCCTAATCACTAAACCCTAAAGGGGGTTCGTCTGCGCTTGGAGAGCTTTGGGGCCAGAAGACATGGGAGCTTCACGTGTGGATAGGGATGGGAGCTGTGTGCGCGAAAAGGGGCTGGGTTAAATCAGGAGCTTAAGTAGATATTTGTCAACATGGTGCCATTATAATGATACGAATAGCAGTCATATTGTTAGTAGTATTCAGAGTACCCAACTACACAAAACACTCGTTGAAATGTCATGGGCCTCTATCTTCGAGGAAGTGTGTGTGTGTGTACTGGCCTGCAGTAGCGAACCTAAACCCTAAACCCTAAACCCAAAACCCTAAACCCTAAACCCGCCTTCTGAGCCAGGCTGGCTGAGCAGCCGCAAGAGAAGGCCAGCCGCAAGGATTTGTTGGGCTTACTGTCCTTCGGGGTGCGTTTCGCCCAGCCTAAGACTTGTGTATCTTAAGCGTTTAGGCTTAAGGGTTCAGGGTTTAGGGTTTAGGGTTCAGGGTACCCTACCTTTCATCTTAGAAACCACTAAGCATCTACGCCTTAAGTCTTGCAAGGTCGGGCAGTCTTCAACGGTGTGCAGAGTCTTGAGAGGAAAGGAAGGGGAGGGCTAAGTAAGAGCGGGTTCTGTTAGCTGCGGCCAGGTTCGGGTTGAGAATTTTGGATGAGACTGCAATGGGATTGTTTTTTCTTTGGTGGGGGCGGGGGGGGGGGGGGGGGGGGGGAGGGCCTCGTATGAGCCCTAAAACCTAAACCCCAAACCTTCTGCCTGGGCTGTGTGAAGCACAGGCAGGCGGATGTGGGGTTCCTTTGCATGGCAGTTAACCCTAGACCCTAAACCATAGACCCCTAAACCCTATAGATCCTAAACCCGACAACCCTAAACCCTATGATCAGCACAATTCGAGGCAAAGTGTTGAGGGTTGGCAGAATCTCACCAGCTTGCGCGAAGCGCAAGGATCAAAGTGACTCCAAGGCCAAAGCCCTAAGTCTGCAATAGCCTAACCATACCAAAAAGCCCAGACCTTCGCAGGGTTTAGGGTTTATGGGTTAGGGTTGAGGGTTTGGGTTTAGGTTCAGAGCGACCCGACCCAGATTGCTGAGCGGATAAACCGTAAACCCAGGCTTGAGTCACGAACTTTTCTGTCTTTCTCCTGCCAGGCAGATGACCCGTTTGCCCTAGCACTGAAGCAAGTGGAATATGTGAAGCCGCAGCAGGTGGTCTCGGATTCCGAAAGACCTGCAGAGCTACTGCAAGGATTTAGGGTTAGAACATCCTGAAGGTTAGGGCTTTTTAGGGCTTAGGGTTAGGTTCAAAAACCCTGACCCGAAAACCCTGGACAATATTCTTTCGGTGCCGCTGGAGGGCCTGCAAGATTCAGGTGGTGGACGACGTCTCTGCATGAAGGGTTTTGATTCCTAAGCCCGACCCTAAACCAACCTAACCTCATCCCAAACCCAACCCTAAACCTAAACCCTAAACCTAAACCCTAACTAACCCTATCCTAACACCCTAAGTGGGACCCTGATTGGCGAAGTGCGGGGGGTCCTAACTTTCTCAAGCCCTGGCTGGCCAATTCCTCGAGCAGACCTGCACCCTTATAGCAAAGACCATATATGGGCATTTCTAAATCAATAATTTAAATCATATGTAATATGTCTTAGGGTTTAGGATGTAGGGTTTAGGGTTTAGGCGCCGCTTATATACCCCAAAAGCATATCCTGATTATAATCCCCCCAAAAAAGGTACCCACCTTTTGGGAAACCCCCATAGACGCTACATGCGATGAGCTGCGCCACAAATTTCAAGCTGAATGCCCGCAAGCCCTGCACATTCTGAAGAACCTCAGAATCCTGCTACCTTACATGACCCTAAGTCCTACGTATACCTTAGACAGTTTTCCAAAAGGCCCCCAAGAAGGGTCCCTTCCACCCCCCCCCCCCCCCCCCCCCGCCATGAGTCCCTTAAGGCAGGAACAGGTCGGTCTGGCTCATAGGGTATATTATGCGCATAAGGTAAATAAAGATTGTCGGGCATGCAGGCAACAGGTCTGTCGGGCTTAAAGTTGAGAGTTTAGGGTCTGGGATATACGTATCTATATGTCGCATATTTCAGCATAACGTTTATGTTTCATTTTGACATTGTCTTGGGGGGGGGGGGTGTTGTGGTTTGGGGGCCATAATTTTGGGGTTCGGAATAGCTACTAGCGGTTTTCCTTTATGGCCCCTATATGTCCCTATATAAATAATACAATAATAAACCCCCAAAACCCTGTTCTAATGGTTTAGGCCCATACGCTAGGGTTGGGAAGTGGTTGCTGGAATCCTGGGGATCGCTCAGCTGCGGTGCTCTCTGGGTTGCTGCGTCTGAAGCGTGCAGCAGCGCACTCTCAGCTTCATAAGATCCCTCAACATATTCATGTTTATGCAACAATGTATGTCAGCATGCAAGCATGCGCGCATGCATGTATGCATACAGCTCTGTGTGTGTGTGTGTGTGTTCAAAATGTAGGTATATATACACATGTATACACACATAAACCGCCAACTCCTGCAGAAACCCAGACTGGCCCTAAACCCTAGTTTGAGGCTTGCCACAAATCCCTTGGCGAAACACCGTCATACCTTACACCCTGATGCCCCCAGCCGACAGATATAGACAGATATGAGCCGAATCTCGTCAGCAACCTAGTTTTTCCTCGCCTTTTGATCGATCCGGCGTCTCCGCAGCCCGCGCGGACGCCCACGCCAATGCCTGGGCTAGAATGCCACCCTAAACCCTAAACCATGAACTCGAAACCCTGACCCCTAAGCCCTTCAACACCCTTCAACCTCAGGAGGGTTAAGGGCTTTAGGGGGAGCTTATGAGGGTTTGGTTGAAGGAGGTCTTAGTTTAATGGGGCTTTACGGGGGTGGCCTGAACTCCAAACCCTAACCCCTAACCCAAGCCCCATATTCCCCAAACTCATAAACCCTGTAGACCCTATAAGCCCTAGCCTGTAACCCCCAGAAACCCTGGAAACACCCTAAGTCCTCA